TAAACAGTTGTAATAATTACAAATAAAGTTTAGACAAAATAACTGCTGCTTGATGAGGGTCCTGTCTACACTGGTTTAAATAGAGCCTTATCTTCTAGGGATTTTAACTGTAACTGTTACATTTGATTTTAATTACCGAGGGTTATTGTTTCCCTTTAATAAGAATGGAGGGGTAGTAGTTCCAGTTTCTCTGTGGACAGGAGGCCTCATGTGTTGTGCAATGCAAAATCTTCATCTTTACTGCTTTTGTGTAAAATTAAAATTCAGTAATGGTGTGTATCTGATCAAACTCTCAGCTCTGATAGAATAACCTGTGTGTGCTTTTGTCTAAAACCTTGTTTATCCAGCACTTCCTCTTTAGCAAGCGTAAATATTGATAGTAAGAGTTGAGGTAATAAGTGTATGAACTCTTTTAATCATGGGATTGTAGGTCAGGTGGATTAACTTTTATTTTATTATTGTTTTGCATCACTCAGGAGCAGGAATTAATGAAGATAGTTGGGATCAAATATGAGGTTGGCTTGCCCACACTCTGCTGCCTGAAACTCGCCTTTTTGGACCCGGACACAGGAAAGCTAACAGGAGGCTCCTTCTCCATGAAGTAAGATTCTGACGTTTTTAATAAAGAACACACATTACCATGCTGAAAACTGATCAGGGAATTTGGTAAATCAATGATTTCTCAACTTTGAAAGTTTGCTTCAAAATGTTTTTGTATTTGGGTAGGTTCTATCTTTGTTTCCTGTCTGTTAGTTTGGGATTAACATGTTTTTTTTTTGTTTGGGATTGATTTCAGCAGCTTTTACCGTTTTAGAGGGTCATAAGAAAACCCCCATATTATTTTGGCATCAGCTTAACTTATCTACAGTATATGCTGCCTGTTTTTGTGTGGCTGATTCTCGAAGCCACCAACAAATGTTGCATAATTCTTAAGGCACGGCTGCTGAATGCACTAATGAATTGTCAAAGGTACAAGAAAAAAATGCTTTTATTGGCTAAAAATGTGAAATTATCTGTCTATCTTCAATTATAAGTATCATTGTTTGTTGTGCTACTAAATCCAGATTTACTGTGCAGTGAATGTTGAATTTCGTTACAGTTTTTAAATGTCTGTCAAATTGAAGTGTCTTATCCGTAAGTCTGGTTTTGAAAGGCTGCTTTCTCTGCAGGTACCATGACATGCCTGATGTCATTGACTTCCTGGTGTTGCGGCAACAGTTTGACAATGCTAGAAGAAGGCAGTGGGCTATAGGTCAGATGGTTTTACTCCTCACCGTGTGTAGAAGTTCTCCATGTGTGCTGATATTGATAAAGTCCTAAACACGTGTGTTTGTGGTGTCGACAGGTGACAGATTTCGGTCGGTGATAGACGACGCCTGGTGGTTCGGGACCATTGAAAGTCAGGAGCCCTACCAGCTCCAATATCCTGACAGCTTGTTCCAGTGCTACAACGTCTGGTAAAGTTTGCTTTTGTTTCAATGGGCTGTGGAAAAATGTGTTAAATATGAGCCAGTTCATCTCATTATGATCTGATTAATCTGTGATATATGTATCACCATACATAAAAGGTATATTTTCTAGGATTATAAAAAAAAAAAAAAACTCAGGTGAAGTAATTTTTTGGGAGTTTATGTGATAGTCTGAGACAAAACGGTGCATAGATGTAAGGCAAAATAATGTAAGTAAAAGGATTTTTAATCACCATTTTTAATCTTAAAGGCGTGTTAAATTGTGAAGAAACAGCTAAATGAAGACTAGAATCTGCAGAATACTCATTACTGGGGCAACGGTTCACCTTCTGGACAAAAACCCTCAGCCTACAGCCAGAGCTGAACTTAGACGTTTAATGAGATGTATCCACGTGCCAGAATGGTCTAGTCAAAGCCCAGTTCTAACCCAGATGGATAATTTGGTGCAAAACTTGAAAAGGGATGTTAACAGAGACAAAAGTTAAAGTTGTGGAGGCGAACACCGAAAAACACTTATAGATAAGATTGCAATAAACAGTGGTTCTGACAATAGCGTCATTTTGTGGTTGCTAACAAATAGAAACAAGTTAGCAGTCTGAATAGTTTGCAACGCAGATTGCAGCACCATCAAGTAAAGTAGCCTTTAAAAACCATGTTGCCATATAGAGCAACTAGAGAACAAATGAAATATTTTTTTTTAGAAATAAAGGAAAAGCTTCAGATGAACAAAAGCAATAATAAACTCATTAACGCTAGCAACTTGAGGAGAAAAGGAAAGAGTGGGATGTGTGAAGTGATCTGTTTTTAGATTCAGATTTGAAGATTGGCAGTCGGCAGATATTTGCAGTACTTTCACCATTTGCCATATATCTAAAAAAAGACTCACTGACATCAGAGTGCCGAAACCAAAAGTGCAAAAAGAGACTGAAGCCTACTGAGTATTCACAGGTTGTAGAAGATTAGGTATAAAAATTGTCTCCTCTTCCTAAAGGTTCATACCAGCGGCATATACTGTCAACCAAACCAAACAATTATTTTATTCATCATAAAACACTTTTTTTAACAGTTAAAAACTTTAAATCATAATTGTTTCTGCCGAATAATTATGTTTTCTGTGTGATAGTTAAGAAGGAAGCTGAAGACTGAGTGAGAAAACTATAACTTGCTGCAGTATTTTAAATTTTAAGGAACTAAAAAGATGGTTTGTGAATAAAGAACAGAGTGTAGTTTTTTTATCCATTGCTGATAAAGACTGGTATTTATTTTGGGATGTTTCAGATCATCAAATACATTTAGATACCAGACTTATTAAACCTGTGAGAAAACAAGAAGCAGTTTACAAATAATTATTTTAAGATAAAGGGGAAAAAAAACACTTGTCTCTTGTTGTCAATCAGTTAATTATGACTTGCACTGTCTGACAGCATGAAGTAGGCTGAATTAACTCATCTTTACTCTATCTAAATAAATGAAACCTAAGTTATAAAACAATTTTTTTTGGCTTGTATTGGTTAGGGAAGGGTTCCAGTGGTGTTTCTGAGGCTTTGGGCCTTCAGTGAACCACAGGAACACTGACTGCAAAATGAGAAAGCATAGAAAGGTGAAGAACCTCCCCAGGAGTGTTCACCCAGCTAAAATTAGCTCAAGAGGGAAGTGACAGCTCATCAAGGAGGCTTCAAAAGAATCCGCCCACCACATCTTAAGCCCAGAGGTTTGGTTGACGTCAGTATCCTGCGTTGGCTTAGTAGCATTTGGCTCATGCTTAGGAAAATGATCCAGAACACACCACCAGATCCACCTCTGAATTGTGTTTAAAAAACAAAAGGATTTGGCCTAGTCAAAGCCCGATGCTTGGAAACATTCCGTTGGGGCTAAATTAAATCACTCTACTAAAAAAGAGTAATGCTAAGTCCAGACCGCAGGTGAAGAAGTGCCTCATAAATTTCTGATCATCTGAGGCGCAGGACACGCTGCACAAGCAGCAACTGCTGGAGTTGCAAAAATTGAACTTTTGCTGCTCAACTCACAACAAAGACCAATCAGAGAAACTGATCTGGTAGCTGGCAGGGAGATGGATACAGCACTGCTGATGCAGATCGCTATGATCTCTCCACTGAAACAGTTTATTAACGCCTAAATTACCCTAAAATGTCAAAACCTGCTGGCAAAATATGTTTGCTTTTTTTAGTCTGTTGTCTGAAGTTTGAATTAAGTACATGATAAACGCTAACATATATTCCAGCCGCCACCAACGGAAGCGGAAAACCTCCAAGAGGTGACCGGGCAAGAGGCTGCTGTTGAACAGGATTTCCAGTAACAAAGTGCCGCCTGCGTACGGGGGTTTCATGCTGGTTGGACGGCGAAATAATATTTGAATGCCGGATCGTAATCTGGATAAACCGACTGCACAGATGAAGTTTTGAGATAGACTTTCTCGCTTTAAAACATATTAAAACTACTTTTTACCCACTTATAACAGCAAATATAGCAAAGCCACACTGCCATTGAACACAGGAGCACATCTGGAGCCACATGCTCTTGAGGCGCATCAGACCTTAATGTGTACAAGCATCAAAAATGCAGCAGCAGAAGCTTTTTTGCCGCTACTATCGCATGCGTTCTGAATGTAGCATAAGGCTAAATTCTCTGCACAATGTTGCAAAAGAGTTAGTCTTAACAAAATCTTGATGGCTATTGTTGCCAAAGGTGGCACATGCATTTAGATTTAGTTGGATTTTAGCTTTTCCCAGAGGGCCAGGTTGGTTTTATAGTTTTTCCCTCTTTAATTAATGAAATCCCCATAAAAAAAACTGCTTCTTTTGTTCAAACATCTTTGACTGATAAAAATGGGAAGATCTGAAAAATGTTAGAAATGCCATAAACCCAAAATCAGTATAAATAACAATCTGATACTGAAGAAAGCTGATCTCTGATGTTCTGCATGCAGCTGGGATAATGGTGACACAGAGAAGATGAGCCCCTGGGACATGGAGCTCATCCCCGATGAAGGTTTGTCTTTAACCCCATGATTTCTGTGCATTTTTTTTCTTATATTTATTTCTCTGTAGACGACCATTTGTTCTGCAGATAATAATAAACAGAAATCCCCCTCCTCTGTTCTCCACAGCTTCATTTCCTGATGAATTGGGCACGAGTGTCCCGCTAACAGAGGAGGAGCAGAAAGATTTGCTCTACGTCCCGCAGGATGGGGAATGGGGATGCCGCACACGTGCAGAGGAGTGTGAACGCATCATTAAAGCCATTGACCAGCTCTGTACTCTCGGTAAGATGTCAGCAGTACTTTTTAAGGAAAAGTTACTGTAAAGATGAGCAATTTTAGCCAGTCTTGTTTCTGGTAAAGGAGCAGCATCTTCCCGTTACATGAGTCACTATTCTGAGAGCTACTGGCTTTTATGCCTTTTATCTGATGTCATAGCAAACATAAACTTTGCAGGAAAGCCAGTCTAGGGCTCCCCCTGGTGGACATTAAAAGAACACAGACACATGTCCATCCTATTTATTCCACTGGTTTTCATCCACTCAGACGGTCATCAGCCTACTTATATAAAATCAGATTTAACATAAACTTCTATCCCTGTTTTGCTGTTATGTTAAAAATGTTGCTTCTCTTCCTGTTTTCAGTACCTTATAGCTAAACCAACCTTACATTAACCCATCTTCACTGTCTCTTATCGCCATCGAACAATTGGCTTGCTGCAGATGTGGCGGCACCGTTTGCATTCCCAGTGGACTTACAGGCGTACCCGACATACTGCACGGTAGTCGCCTATGTCACCGATCTTAGCACCATACGTCAAAGGCTGGTAAATCGCTTCTACAGGTAACTCAGCGGAGGCTGTGCTACATGATTCTCTGTGTTTCAATGTGAGAGAGAGATTGTAACAGAATCCTATTACTGTCATTACTACAGACGGCTTTCCTCTTTAATGTGGGAGGTGCGTTATATAGAACACAACGCCCAGACGTTCAATGAGCCAGGGTCGTTCATCGTCACGACTGCCAAGTTCGTCTCTGACCTCATGCTGGCCTTTATTAAGTATGTTTAACCTTAAGCATCATTACAGTATTTCTGCAGTTGTTGGAATTGATCAATCATGTTTGATATCAATTGATCTAAAATGCTAATTTCATCAGTTAGATTTAAATTCTAAATATTTCTACATCCAGTCATCAGTTACTGACCCGCTCTCTGTTTCAGGGACCAAAGTCTCACAGACCTTAAGCCTCTGTACAAAACCATGAAGAAGGCCACCTTCTCTGACTCAGAAGATGAGGTATGTTTTTATTTTCCATTCTTTTCAGTACTATACTGTACTACCTTACTTTGCTATACTGCTACATTATATTGTATTATACTTCTGTACACACTGAACCATTCTATAGTACGCTATTCTACACCACACTACATTATAATATATTAAACAGTACTTAACTATAGTGTTGTGCTAAAAACAGTCAAATAAACTATTCTAACCTACACTATACACCCTATATCATGACCTGATGATCACTCCTCCTAACTTCATGTAGAATAAATGAGTCATGACACAATTGAACCAAAAATTGGTCGGTTGTGAGTGAAAAACAGTCTCACAATGAGAAACAAGTTTGCACAGTGTAAGCTCAGCTTAAGAGGACCGACACGGATGAAGTCTAGCGGTCCAAGGGGACTGTCGGTTGGACTCTGCCCCAGGACCATTTTGATACCAGGCTTCTGTATCCATCCTTAGTCATAAGGAGGACAACCCACACAGTGACACCACAGGTGAACAATGCTGGCATAACTCAGGAGGGAGGAAGGTGATATACTGTAGGGAAAGCCGCCCCATGGAGCAGAAATTTCGGCATGTTAGAAGTCGACTGGCTTGATGAACCCAACACGATAGCCTACTGCACCATTTAAACAAAGCCTACTTTCTGTTGGGGCTCTATTACCCAAAAAGAAAAAACCTAGCTCAGACATCTGCTCCGTTGTCATCTGTGGCTCCAGTTTTCGCTTGAATTTGGGTCGTGCCAAAAAGAGTGGCATTTATGAACATGACCTGAGTGTGGGCGCTTGCAGCTGTACTAAGAAATTATCATTCTGTCCGTTCATTTTTATTTAGTTTATCCTATTATTTATTTTTTTCCTTGCTTCTTGGAATCATATGAGACTGTGGTGGATCCAAATGAAATGCCACAGTCTTCTAAATTAATGGAAAACACCGCTAGTACACTAAACTACTACACTGTATTAAACCACAAGACTGCATTATACTATTAAACTATACTAAACTGTAGTATGTTATACTACTATACCATATTATAACATTACACTAACTTGGACTACTTCATTATACATACTACTAAAATATACTCTACTACTAATAA